AATTAAGGATATGCTAAGTCAAGATATGGAAAAATGGAGGGGGAACATGAAATATACTTATAATGGAAAATTATTGAGATTATAAAGACAGAATTACAAATTTGGGGTGTGTAAGGATGCATAACTATATAAATATAATGATAAGAATAGCTGGGAATCGTAACCAGGTCTATATCTCGGCCAAAAATAGGCTGGGGCAGTTTTTAAAAATATAATTACTATATATGTATACTTTTTTTCTTTAAAAAAAGAAGAAGGAAGATATATGTTAAAATTAAATATGTATATTGAAATGGAATTATAAATAACATCAACATAAAATTGAATTCGCTCAGAGGCTGAAATACACCAAGTAAATGAGATGAAGGGTGCGAAGTAAAGGAGAGAGGTAAGGGAAGAAGAGAGAGATAGGAGAGAGGGTGGGGGGGAAGAGAAGGAGAGAAAGGAGTGGAAAGGGGAGAGAGGAGAAGGAGAGAGGAAGGGGAAGTGGAGAAGAGAAGGACGACAGAGGGAAGAAAGGAGGTAGGGAGGAGGAGGAGAGAGGGAGAAGAAAGAGATGGATAGGGTATAAATATGGTGTATGGAGAGCAGAAGAGCCAATAATCATTTTTTGGGGTTGATGGTAAGACAAATTGATGTAAACATTTAACAATAATATAATGTTGTTTATGTAATAGTATACATGTGGTTATTTGTTATAAAAATGAAAAAATAAAAATCTTTATTAAAAAAACCTTGAACATGCTTCAAAGGAGAAGTCAAGGAAATAGATTAAAAACGTTGGGATTATCTGAAAGTTGAGACAATTCTGTGCCCATTCCAATTAACTTCACACCAGAAAATAATAATTTTCCAAACGGAAAAAAAATACCCAAGGGAAATTATATATCTGTCTGAAGTAAGCATACTTTCGTAGTTTAAATGGTATACAACTGAATGAAGCATTTCAGTGCTCTAATTTTTTTCTTTTAGGTTCGAGAACTAAATGATGTACAGTTTCCTCATGCTTTCCTTGTGTCAGGGAAGCAGCGAACTCTAGAACTGCAAGCTAGGTAATTCAGCAAGAAATGTATCCTTTTTTTCGTTCTAGCAAAAGAAAGTGAACTCTGCCTCTCCAATAAATGACATCTCTTTCTCTGTAGGTCCCAGGAGGAGATGGATGCCTGGCTTAAGGTAGCCATTGCTGCAATTTTTTTTTTAAGCTTAGGAAACATCCTGGCCAACGAGGAAACCAAAATACTCTCAATAAGTATAATGGGTTATGGAATAACCTTGAGAGACAGGAAGAAGAGCTACAGCCTAATCAATAGTCTCATAAGAAAAATCTGAATCCAAAGCATCAATGGGATGGAGAAAGTTTCTCAGAATATTTCCTCCCTATGAAGTCAGATTTCATAGACATATCATTGTAGTTTTCTTAGCAGCAATGTAGAAGGGACTTATTATTGCCATTCCTCCCTTTTTAAATTTCCCAACTTTGGTATTTCCTAAGTGTTCTCTCATCCAAGTCCTAACTGTTTCCTTCCCTATTTAGCTTTCTAAGATCAGATAAGGTCAGTTGGATGCTACCACATAGCTATACCTTAAGAAATGACCCACAATTAATGCAGTATCCTTCAATATAGATGGTACTGGTGCTGGAAATTTCTAATTTTGGCAGCTAGATTAAGACATTTGGGAATCCACATGGAGATCTTTAGTGGCTCAAACACATTATATGATAGGGCAGCCCCATGCATTTAAAGGGAAGTCAATTTCATTCACAAATACAATGGGTAATAGAAGTGAGAGCAGAAAGCTCTATAAGGAATTTAAGCCAAGGCTGGGGAAGGTTTTAGAACTTCCCTCTTCATTCTTAAAATCCCCAACCATTCATAAATCCATCCATGCTTCATCTTTGATTAGGTCAGTCTTAAACACATAGGAGCTGCTATTTAAACCTGTAAATTGTAACTAAGCTTCTTTTCAGAAATCCTTCTATTCGAAATGTTTTCTTCCTCTCTCCCAGACCTTCCAGTCTGCCATCGACAAGAAAGAAAAGAGGAGTGAAACCTTCAAGGCTGCAAGCCAAGGGCAAGAAGCAGAGACACAAGACTCCAGTGTAAAATCTCCAGTTACACACACCTATTGTGACTCTATCCCATTTACACTTTAGAGCTACCCATATTCATTTCCTCTTTTAAAACCATGAGCTCATTTTCCAAAGATTGTAGCTGTGTACATTTACAAAGACCTGACAAGTCTCTGATAAACAAAGGGGAAGGGGAGATGTACAGAAAACACATCTAGCAAAGTTTTGTCCTTATGTCCCATTGACTCTAGTTGTGGTACATTTAAATTGAGGCTGTCACACCCTCCTGTGTGTCCAAAGACTGACTGAAAGGGTTGCTTGATTTCAGAGTCTCTTTTCTTGCAGCAGGGCGAGTCACAGGAGCTGGGCAAGTGGGCTCCCCAGTGGATAAGAGACAAGCTAGTCACCATGTGCATGCGCTGCAGAGAGCCATTCAATCCTATCACACGAAGAAGGCATCACTGCCGAGCTTGTGGCTATGTGAGTGAGCTTATTTTTTCTCTACCCCCTCCCCCAATTGACCTCAAGGTAATTGACAGGTTTTGCTGATCTGAAGGGCTACTACTGAGAACAAGAGTGCTTATGGCTAGTGCAATTGCAGACTTGAAAAACCTTGCCAAGAAAACTGCAGGGACTTGTCCAAGCAGTCTCCAAGAACTGGATACAATGAACATTAAAAAAAAAAAAAAAACACCTCACCACATTTAACCTTCTCCAAACCTGTGGTTTTTCTCCTGGAGGCAGGTGGTGTGTGCCCGGTGTTCTGAATACAAGGTTGAATTGCAATATGACAAGAATGGACTCAAACGTGTCTGTGCGGAATGCTATGGTTTCCTAACAGGGAATTTGCTGCCTGTCGAGCAGCATGGGAAGCACAAAGGCATTCTGGAGGTGAGTTGGAAGGTTTGCTGCTTCTCTTTTTTCAGGCTTGTTCCTTGGTCTGTTGATAACTTGATGTTCTGGTTAGGAATTTTTTTATTGCAGCAGTTTCACTTTTGTGATTTTGAAAGTACTTATCTAGCAAACACTTCCCCATCAACATTGCACATACCCTGTTTCCCTGAAAATAAGACCTCCCCGAAAATATTGCAACAGAGCAGCAGTCATGAGGTGACCATGCTCTCTGCCTCCTGCACCTCAAAAATAATAAGACCTCCCTGAAAATAAGGCTAAGCGCTTATTTTGGGGGTCAAAAGAAAATAAGACTCTGTCTTATTTTGGGGGAAACACGGTGCATGCATGCCAGTGGTGGGTTCCAGATTTCATTCCAACTGGTATGGTTGGAACAGCCATGGCATCACCCACATGGACGCATGCGGTGCATGCATGTGTTGTACTTGCCTGCAATGCTTCTGCAAGCCTCCGCAATGCTCCAGCTGCTCAGCGGCGTGTCATGCAGGCGCTGTATGCGCCATGCACATTCATGGAAGTTCCAAAGGCTTAAAAGACAGGTAAGGAGCTCGGGTGGGTGGATGAGCCCTCTGGAGCACCGTACCGGAACAGTACCCAGTGCTTCGGGCAGGCTCCAGTACGTCTGTACCGGGGCGTACCGCCTGCAACCCATCATTGATAAATACATACATACTGTTCTGTCCTCCTTTCTCCGCTCGTTAAACAGACGACAGGCAAACAACTTAAAAGGAACTCTCTTTATCAGTTCTCNATAAATAAATAAATAAATAAATAAATAAATAAATAAATAAATAAATAAATAAATAAATAAATAAATAAATAAATCTGACTTTTTGAAACAAATGGAACCCTTGCAAAACTTCACCGGTGTCTTGTAACATTACTTTTTTCCAGGAGATGTGGCTTTGGCATGAGAAGTCATCCATTTTCCATATCTCAACTGTTGCTTTTTAAATTAACATCATTTTATGTCTCTGCCGTACTTTAATTGGTTTTCTATTTGAAGGTCTCCCCCACACAAAAAAATAGAATTACACTACATGAAAGATGATGGGTAGCATCTGGATGACCTCTGGGTTTGTAAGCCAAACAGCAGTGAACTTCATTACTGCTTGGATAGAGGACTCCGGAACTGCTAGCTAGACTAAGAAATAATTAATTTAAAAAACATAATGGAAGAAGATAATGGCAGACTGCTACAATCAAGAAAATGGTCTGGACTCATCTGTTAAATTGCTGGAATCAATTATGAATTAAAGGAAACTCTGTATTTACTTAAACTGAAGAGCGTTCCTGGCTTAAAGGAGAAGGACAGGACCTGATGCTGCCTATTTGGAAGATTTTGGTGTTTTTAACAATAGTGGTGTCACCATAGTCTGACCCCAGCGAGGCCAGGCTCAATATAAAAGAAGAAAAATACGAGTGACCATTACTGCACATTTTACAAATCACATTTCTTTGCTAAAAATGATCACCAAATCACCTAAATTTTTAAGCTTCTGGGAAGGAAAACTGATGTGTATGCTAGCTGTGTGCCCTATGTGTGAATATGTATTAAATGAGCATGCTTTTATAATTTGCATACACTCTGTTTTGTGACTTTCTGACCTTAATAATGCAATAGACCTTCATGCTCCCTTTGACAATATAAGTCATTTTACACCCCCCTAAAAAGCATTTGCATCCAATTTTAATGCATAATCTGTGATTCTTTATTTATAGTTGCAAAAATATGACTTTCAGAACCAAGAAGAATTTAAACAAAATAAAATGAATTTATTACTATGCCTTGCAAAAAAAGTTGTGTTCACTTATTTTAAACAGACTCTTTGCTTTAGAGGGACACTTGTACAATTGTGAAAAAAGGGGTCCTCAGCGGCACCAGAAATATGAATACCAGTATATTTGTTTTGTACAATCTAGATTTTGTACACCAGGGTGCGCTCTCAGTTATAAAATTCAGAACAGGCAGAAGAAGCAAGTGTTGGGTTTTTGGGTTTTTTTGGCTGAAAGTAGCAAATCTAGTCAACTTGGGAAAGACAAATTTGAAGTCCCAGAGAAAAATATGTGGTAGGATATTTGTGGATAGGTGGTTTTACATTATAATGTTACAGGGGGATTTAATGTTTGTCCAAACTTCATGAAGATTAGTGGCAGAAGAAGCTGGCTGAAATGCAGGACATTAAAAATTATTATGTCTGTCTGTCTGTCTATCTGTATCTCAGTCTNTCAAAAGTTTGCTAGCAGTTGCAAAACTTACAATAGCTCACAGCACTTTCTAACAGCCAGCTTCCAAAAAAACCACTCAGATCAGATCAGCCCAGTATCTAACAGAGAGCTAACAGCTATTCTGGCTCCCTCTAATGGCTGATTGAGGAAAACAGCAACAAATCACATTTTACAGTATGATTTAAAGAAACAGGTATGATTTATATATTGCCAAGCCAACCGTTAGATTATATTCCTAACAATGTTCTTTTCTTTCCGGCAAGCAACATTATGCAGCATAGAAAGGAGAATAATGTAGAAGATCCAAGGAAATTAAAAGCAAAATACAAGGGGGAAAAAAAGAAATGAAACATTGCTAAAGCTACTAACATCTCATTTCTTTGTCATCAGAGCCAACTATGACTTTCTCAGACTCTCATCTTTTCTTGAGCCCTTCACTCTTCTTTCACAGGGTTGTTTCATTATTCTTTCTTTTTTTATGGCCAAGCCACCTCAATATACTGTATATATTTGCAGATAAGATCAAGCCAACTTTCAGGGTTTTTTTGTCTTCTTTTTCCAATGTATTCTGAAAGGCTTCTTTGTTTTTATATTTGTATCAATACATGTTTTTGTTTCCAGAAGAGATCCATTTTAAATTTTCAAAACTGCCTTATCTCTAGGTAGTACATTTTTCATGTACTTTGGTGAAAAATAATGAGAGTCAGATTTATTTGTAGTTGGGCTTATTTGTGAGTATGTATGTATATTTAAAAAAAAACATTGCTATGTGTATTTGCAGATGAGCTCATCTGTAGATAAACTAAACTCAATTTTGGCCTACATTTTGGAATCTAAAATTCATGACTTATCTACGAGTACATATGGTGTTTTTTCATGCTTTTGTCATACTCACTCATTGCTGTATTCAACCTATCATTTCTACTCCTACTCCTATTTTTACTCCTATCTCCTATCAACATTTGCATGTCTTCAGATTTCTTCATTGCAGTGAACATCCTTCCAAGGTAGAAAAATATATTGCTCTATTTTTCACAAGTTACAGATCAATTGCAATTGTTCACTCCATTTTCCTTGGCATAACTCAAATCACTTTAGATTTCAATAGATTGCTTTTCAAATCCATACTCCTTGTTGTATCATTCATTTTTCTAATATGTACTACAAATATTTGAGTCCTCAGCCAACAATTATGGTATTGTGTGCTTACAAAAATCTGAAGGTTGGCATATACAACATGTCTTCACCAAAACACCTCTAATTCATTGTGCGTTGATCTATGAATACATTAAGCAAAATAAAGAAACAACACATATTCTTCCATTCGCCTCTGTTCAATGTTGAACATTTTTAGGCATTCCATTTATTCTCATTCTTCATTTCTATTATATGCCACTGTAATTACAGTCAACCAAACTTCAACTTGATATTTGCACAAAACATTGAAGCATATTCACTTTGTCATATGTTCTCTTTACATTTACAAATATAGAATAAACTTTGTTTCTCACATTCATACATTTCTCGAAAGACCTGCTGAAGAGTAATACTATATTCAGTGCATTTTTTGTCAGGTATACTATAAAGCCCACTCGTTTCCAAATATTGTTCACTGTACTTGCTACTCTCCCCTTTTTATATGGGAACAATAATGGCATTCTTCCATTATATGGGCCATGATCAAAAATAGATGCAAATGTTAAACAAGTTAAACTGCCATGCCATAAAAAAAATCTCTCGGTATTTTTATATTTTAAATAATATTTTCTATTTGCACCATCTTTATCTACAGCCTTACAATTTTTCAATGTGATTGCAGCATTTATATCTTTTTTACCAGTTATTTTCTTGGACAGTAACATTTATAAGATTCTTTTCAATTTCACTCTTCAACATACCTCTTATTAATCCCATATACATGTTTAAAATACTATTTTCAGCCCTGTCTTATTACACTTTCATCGTTGTTAATTGCTCCCAACTTCTTGTTTAGCTCTTTTTATCATTTTCAGAACATTTTTTTTATTTCCATCAAAAATTGCTCTGCATTTTCTTTGCCTCTTTTAATGGTTGTATGTTCTATAGCTATATTCTTTGCTACTATTGTTGTGTGCTTTATAATTATATTCTTTGCAACTATTGTTTCTCTACATGTACATTATTCAAATCCCTTTTATTTTCATTTCTTGCAGCACCAATTCTATTATATGCATTTTTTTCATTCATGGCTTTTTCACTTTCCACTGCCATCAAGCATCCTTTTTAATAATTTTCATTACCATATTCTAGAGATTTCCTTGGGACGCAGTAACATATTTCTTTTCATTCTGTACCAAGTAGTTTCAATATCCTCTTTTTCACACCCACTTTCCATTATTTCTATTGAAAGATTAATCTATTCTTGAATAAGTTTTTAGTAGATTCATCTCTCCCATTAGCACTAGAGCATAATATGCAGCTATTGCCATTCTATAAATTCAAATTTCCTTATGTACCCACGACCACCTAAACATCAATTCATACTGTCTTGACATACTTTTTAGCTCTTTCATGTACAAATAGTCCTCATTTAACAATAGGAATTGGGACCACAATTTCTGTTGCTTAGTGACACAGTCATAAAGCATGATGTCATATGATCATACTAGTTCCAGCACTCCTGGTTGTTGTTATTAAGTGAATCACACACTTTGATGTTCTTGCTGTTGAGTGTCCCTCTAGTCACATGAGTATGATTCATGCTTGCCTGAATCCCGCTTGCACCTGCTTTCAATTACAATGTTGCAGCATCCTATGACTATGAAGTTGCCATTGAGACTTGCTGCCTTCTCCATTGGCTTTGCTTGTCCAAAGCCAGCAATGAAGGTTGCAATTGATGATTACATGACTAAGGGACACTGCAATTGCAAGGCAGGTGTTAAATGCCCAGATTATAATCATGTGTTCGTGAGGAATCTATGATGGCCAGAACTTCCATGGTCACCAAACAAGTGTTCATTAAATGCAGGCCACCTGTAATATATATTTTCTTGGGTTTCATTCATTAATTCATGTTCTTTGTCATTTAGTCATCTTACATTCTAAGTCATCTCAATCTTTTATGTGGCATATATGGATCACTATAAATTGTGACAATGTGATCTCTGTTGCCCATTATGACTTTGATCATGGATTGAAATGTTGTGCAATATAGAAAATATGTCAGCTAAATTACTAGCCTTAGTTATAACCATGTGCACCGTTTTTCTGAATTAAAAAATAATTTAGTTTTGGCACATTTTGGCAAATATGCTACAAGTGCAGCTGAAACCTAGTTTTATTCTGAGTATGCTCAAACTATTCTATGCAGACTAGAATCTCTAATCTAGAGACTAATTTGAAATCCAGTATGGTTCAAGAACTAAACAACTGTTTCTAAATGCAGTGCATAAGGGATTAATTAGCATACATATTAAGACCTTCTGGTTAATGTCCCTAATTTGGCACAAATTAGGGACATTTGGCACAAACACTGACTCTACTCTTAGGTTAGTTTGCCTTTGAACTGTTCTAGAAATCAATTGGAACCTTAAAAAAAGAGAACCTTGTAGAAAGACAACTCACTGAAAAACACATCTGTTTAATTTTATTTAGATCATGATTAAGAAATGTAAGGATCTGCTGGCTCCATTTAGCCAGTTGAATTCTGGATTGCAAAACCATTATGAAGTTTCATTATCAATGCATGGAAAGCTTGGTTGAAGTAGAAATTTGGGATGCATGACATTACCTGTTTTGAATTTGTTATGTTCCTTAGTCAGATCTGCCAAATATACTTCATTTCTAGAAAGTCTATGAGATTCCTTCTAATCTAATGTCATAATTTTATGAATCCTGGCAAAGAAATAGCAGGTAGAAGACGTTTAACAGCAAACTTTTGCCTACATCATGTGATTAGATTTTGAGGAGCAATTTTGTCTGTAGAAATTGTTTTCAGGATATTATCAAGCTACTTACTAAGGAAAGATACTTAGTTATCAGTGTTGATGCTTTATAAAGTATTTCTGATACATTCATCCTCCACAGAAGATTTTAGCTATGGCAGCTGAATGAAATCTCCATGTTTTCTTTTGGAGAAGAGTTTATTAATAATGCTGTGAATCATTTGTTTCATTGGCAGAAAGAATCTGCAGAAATATCAGGGCAGAGCCTAATGTGCAGTTTTCTGCAGCTTATGGATAAGAATGGAAAGGGCAGCATGCGTGGCTGGTTTGTGATCCCACGAGATGATCCACTGGTGTTGTATATTTATGCTGCACCTCAGGTATGTTTTTGTGTAGAGTTTATTATGATGGAAATTAATAAGGCTTACAAATGAGTTGCTTCTAGAACCCTGCCCTTTGATAACCCCCTTTCATAACATCAAGATTGGGTTTATAAGAACATAGAAATTAAGGTAAAGGTAAAGTTCCCCACGCACATATTTGCTAGTTGTTCCCGACTCTAGGGGGCGATGCTCATCTCCATTTCAAAGCCAAAGAGCCAGCGCTATCCGAAGATGTCTCCATGGTCATATGACTGCCAAAGGAGCACGGAACACTGTTACCTTCCCACCAAAGGCGATCCCTATTTTTCTACTTGCATTTTTTTACGTACTTTCGAACTGCTAGGTTGGCAGAAGCTGGGACAAGTAACGGGAACTCACTCTGTTACATGGCGTTAGGGATTCAAACTGCCAAACTGCCGACCTTTCTGATTGACAAGGTCAGTGTCTTAACAACTGAGCCACCGCATCCCTGAACATAGAAATTAGTGACATGAAAAGTTCTCCATTCCAAACTAGCTGCAAGATGTAGTTGTGAATATTTTTCAGCTTCTCCCTTCTCCCACCATTTCCCATTGGCATCATCTCAGAAAATATATTAGATGGACTAATAAGCTCAGGGTGATGCATTTATTTCACTGTTTCCCTTATAACAGGAATCCTGTGGAGTAGGTTGAAACTGAAAGATGGTGACTGGTTTAAAAGCATTCTATGGGCTTCAACGGCTAACGGTAGACTTGCGCTTAGGTCTCCATAATCTTGAATATTATTTAATTACAGAAGCATTTTTGTCCCAACTTCATCATTCCCAGTGATTTTCCACTTCTGGAGGGAAATTATCCCACCCTAATCTGATTCTTTTACATGTTTGGGAGTCACCAGGGCAGGGAAGGTTGAATGTATTCCACTGAGGAGAAAATCAGTAAGAAGTAGAGAGTCCAAGCCAAGCCATGTGCTGCCGTTTGATATGAGACCAGAAGTAATTGATGAAAAACCAAGGTAGAAATTAGAATATATGAGAGGCAGGATGCACAACTCCCAGCACAAACGACAACTTTCTATAATTCCACTCTGCCAAGGAATTTAATATATCATTCTGCTAAGTCAAACATACTTCAGAGTAATCTGAAAATTTCAAGTTCTAGCTTTGGGAGTTCCTGATCATGAATAAAAATATTGAATAGGGAGGAATGAAGTAAGCAATTATTTTATTTATTACATTTATATGGCTGCCCAGCTAGACTGTATGAAATAATATTGTTTAACTTTTCTGTAGTTAAGCAATAGCAGCCTCTTGAGGCTGTTTTGGGTAAAACAAAATAAACCAAATTGGAAAAAAAAGGCTGGGGGGGCAAACGTCCCAGACAACTATGGACAAAACTAGTTTGGGCTTTCAGTAGTACAGAATCATGTCAGTGTGATGATAACAAAGTGGTCATATCTCAACAGAGATATGAAATTAGCTATGGGACATTTGAGAATAACTGTGTTTGGATCCTTTCCTTCACCTGACCCAGGATGTCAAGGCCTGTGCCTCTATCCCTCTGTTGGGTTACCATATCAAGGAGCCATATCAGAATAATCCCCGCCACATCTTCCAGTTGGTACAGTCCAAACAGACCCATACCCTGGTGGCTGAAACTGAAGAACTGAAGCAGCGCTGGATGAAAGCCATTGAACAGTCTGCCAGGGGAGGAGAAGAAGAAGACGATTCATGTGATGATCTGGAATAATCCAAGCTCCTTCTGAGGCTGTTTCATACTCTGAATTGCCAGTGTAATAAGCACCGAATCTGTGTTATACATTCAATCATGTCTTTCAGTTATAACTTTTCACTGGTTTCAAATCATAGCATTTTTGTCTAGTTCTACAGAGGAATTATTGAGTCTATCATCTGCACTTCCATAGCTGTCTGGTTTGGCTCTGCAACCAAAAAAGACAAACATAGATTTCAAGGGATAATTAAACTGCAGAAAAAACAATTGCTACCAACCTCCTTCCATTGAGGACCTGTATACTGCACGAGTCTTTTAAAAAGAGGGCTGTGAAAATATCTACAGACCCCTCGCATCCTGGACATATATTGTTTCAACTTCTACCCTCAAAGCAACACTATAGGGCTCTGCACACCAGAACAACATGACACAAGGAGAGTTTTTCCCCTGAATGCCATCACTCTGCTAAACAACACCGTCATATTACCTACTAAGACTGAATTTCTATTATTCTTCTCGTCCTTCCTAGAACCTGTCTCTTCCCACTTATGACTATAACCATGTTGCTTATATCTTTATGGTATATTGTTTTTATTTGTTTCCTAATACTATTTGATAGCTTATTAGTAACCTTGACTGTTACTAAGTGTTGCATCTTTTTATTATTGATGAATGTATTTTATTCTCCTTATGTACACTAAGAGCATATACAAGACAAATTCCTTGTGAGTCCAATCACACGTGGCCAAATTCTATTCTATTGTAGTAGAGTTTTCCTTGGTTTACTGGTGAGCCTGCCATTGAAGCTACTGTATATCTAGCAAACTGTTCAAGTCCTAATAAATGGTTGATTTGTCATTTAAATTTGCAAACTTTTTGTTGATAGGCTGTCTGGTTCATATACATATTACGTGTTGGTACAAATAATGCTTCCTGTTTGTGCATAGACCTTTTTTGATCTACAACTATGTCAGGGAAATTATTTTCTGATCAGAGATTCTGACACTGAAGAATCCAAAAGTGCTTCCTTCCATCTATTTAAAAAAAGGTGAATGGGATTTTTATTCCTATTCAAACTATAAAATATAACTTATGACAGGCTCAACCTCTGAATGCGATCAGATTGGCCATGTATGCCAGGAAATGACCCAAAGATATTTTAGGAAGTTATGTTGGTGAAACTGAACATGTTGAATGTTTCAAACCAGAAATAAGATTGGAGTAAGTATCTCAATTTCCTGAAGGGATCAGGAAATAGCATTTGGGCAAAGAGCTGACCCCCGGGGAAAGGTGGAAGGTCAAATACAGGTACGGTGCTCCAGAGGGCCCACCCATCTGCCCTCCCTCCTGCCCTTCCTTCTTACCTGTATTTGACCCAACTGGGCCATTTGTGCACGCGCACGGAGCATACGGCTCCTGGGCGACACTCCACCAAGCAGCTGGAGCGTTGTGGGCAGTGGGATACACAAGCCCTTGCAGTGCGCGTGCACGTGGTGGACGTCCGGCCCCGTCGCAGCATACCGGTTGTGACGGGATCTGGAACCCACCACTGTCCTGCCCCTTAAAAATAATAAGACACCCCCCCGAAAATAAGGCCAAGTGCTTATTTGGGGGGTAAAAAGAAAATAAGACTCTTATTTTGGGGGAACACGGTATTAAATTACAGCAAGCTGAATTTTAGAGATAAATACAGATAAAAGTAACAATTGTTGAAACTGTTTCCCTTTGCTAATTCCATCTACCTTCCACCATTCCCCAGAGGTTAGCTCTTTGCCCAAATGCTATTTCCTGATCCCTTTGATTCACTTCTCCTTTTCACATTCTAAAATGGTGTCCATGGCTACTTGAGGATGTCTTCCTTTTCCCTTTTCAAAAAGCGGTTGTGTTTTTAGAAAATCTTGATGTTTTTTAAAAAAGAAAAGGAATACTGGAAACTCCAAATGAAAGCACAAACTTCCAACATTTTTTTAAAAAAAATACAAAAGTAATTTTGTGACCTATAAGCTTTTTCAGAAGATAACAGGATGGCAAGGTGTTGCTCCATGCTTTATTTATTATCCAGAGAAAAAGATAAGATAGTTGGCACTGGCAGGGAGCAACCTGGAAGAAGTTAAAGGAAATAGAAGGGAATGTTCTGTTCTGTCAAGGTTTGTATCTTTTTACTTTCCCTTATCTATGCATGAGGTGCTTTCAGAATTCCAAAATTTTTACCATCTCCATCA